CCCTCCCCCCCCCCCCCCCCCCCCCCCCCGCCTTTTCCCTTTTTCCTACTTACTTTTCACACCACTCTTCCTTGCCTTTCCCTGGAACAGCTGCCGGCTGTTTCCTGACACCTCGATCCCTACTGAAGGATCTTCCTGGCGGCAGTTTCTGCTCTCCCTGTTCCCTGGGGGACGCTCCACACCAAACCCGAGCGCGACTAGTGAAAGAAGTACCCCAGCCCCCACTTCCTTTCCAAAGCATCCCGGAGACATCCTCAGGGGCTCCTCGAGTCACCTCTTCCATGTAACCCAAGATTCAGGCAGCCAGTTTCCTCCCTTCTCTTTCCCCCTAAGTAGCTAAAATTGATGTTATTTGCAGATTGAATGTTGCTACATTCCTCCGAGTGCCAGAATACAGCTCATAAAACACAATTTCACACAAAGATGAAGTCAATCAAGTGAAATAAGCCGGGATTTTTTTTCTCTGTTGGCACACTAGACCCTGGACAGCAGGGCTGCTATTTACTGTAAGTAATGTAATTAGCCCTTTTGGATGGAAATCAATGTGTTGTATGTGTGTGTGTGTGTTTTAATAAGAGAGTAATAGCTATAAAACCGACGATACTCAAAGGGGTAAGGGAATCTCCCTTGAAACGGGTATATCCCTCCACAAGCCGCAGTCTCCTACAGAGAACTCCCGATCTGGGAAAAAAAAAAAAAAAAAAGGAAAAAGGAAAAAAAAATATCTATCTGTGTGTGGGGCGTGTGGGGAAGGAGGAGGGAGAGACAGGCTTTCCTTGGAGAAAACAAGTCAATTAACACAACAAGTCATCAGGAAAAAATAAACAAGGTGATTCGATCCGGGAGCTGTTTTCTCGGGATCCCCCTCCTTCCCGTCGGCACATCGCGGTGCCCCGACTGCTCCGGGACGCGGGCGAAGTCCCTTCCCTCTGCCCCCAAATCCCGCCGGAGCGGGGGGAGCACGGCCGGCACACCACGCGTGACCGCGCCGCCGGGGAAAGGCGGCAAGACCCGCAGCGGGGACGGCGGCTTTGCCCAGCGCTGCGGAGCCGCCCGGGGAGGGAAGGAGGGAAGTGGAGAAGGAGAGAAGGAAGGAGGGAAGGAGGGAAGGAGAGAAGGAGGGAAGGAGAGAAGGAGGGAAGGAAGGAGGGAAGGAAGGAGGGAAGGAAGGAGGGAAGGAAGGAGGGAGGCAGCCGCGCTCCGGGCAGGGGGGTTCACCCCTCTGCCAGGAGGGTTTGCTCCCCGCACACCCTGCGCCCACGAGTGTGCCTACCTGGCGTGGGTGATTGCAGCAGTTGCTGTCGCCAGAGGTGAAAAAGAAAAAAATCTCACCGAGAGACTTTATTTCTAATAGTTTCAATATAATCTTTCCACTCTACTGGCACGTTCAGGGTTTGGTTGGGGTGGGGTTTTTTGGTTTGGGTTTTTTTGTTGTTGGTTTTTTTTGGTTTGTTGTTGGTTTTTTTTCACTTGAACGAAATGTTCCTTTATTCCCGTCCAGATATTTTGTCCCTTGGGAATGGTCTGCATTTCCCATGGCGCCCGTCTTGCCCAAAACGCCAGGCACAGACACCCGCCGAAGCCCGCCCGCTCTCCTGGCCCGGGCCGTCCCTGCGCGCCCCCTCGGAAGCGCCGTCGCCGCCGTCCCCGTGTCCCTGCCGGGCTGAGGACGGTCAAACTCATGGCTCCCGCTGGGGGCGGGGAGCGGGGGGGTGGGGAGAGCCCCCGGGGTGTGGGGGAGGGAGCGCCGGGCTCCGTTCCCTCCAGGCAGCTAAAGTGGCTGTGGCCCTGCCTCAGGCGCTCCGGGTGCGGGCACCGCTCCCCTCTCCTCCCGCTTGGCTGACGTTCGCCGTCTCGGGTTCACCGAAATATTACCTGCAGGTGCAGTGGCGAAGGGTTGGTCCAAGCCAGAGACACCAAAAATATTGTTTGTTAAATTCCCATCTCTATCTTAGCTCGACGGCGCCGTTAGGAATAATTGGGCAGACTCATAACAAAACTCAGAAATGACTAGACCTCCTCCGGTTGGACACACTTAATTAATTAGAGGGTCCTTTCTTTCTGCTCCATCAGGTACGGTTAAGGATACGCTACTAGCTGCTGCTGCTCCAGTAAAGGAGGCCAGGGGTTTGCAAGGCGCTTTCTGATTAACATCCTAATGTTGGCAGACCACTTCTTACCTAAAGGGACACTGAAAGTTTGTTGCTAGCATCAAACGTGACTTCTCCGTTTCCAAAAGGCCTGTAGGAGATCAAGGTAAATCTATTTCAATGTTCCTGAGATCTCATTCCGTGCTGCAAATGGAAACTCCGCCGCTCTAAGGCAGGCTGGTAGCGAGAGGTTGCCATTACAGCACGAGGGTCTCTCTATAGTTTTGCTGGTTTGCTCGGGGAGGGGACAGAAAAGCTCACAAAGAACACGACAGGGAATCTGAAATCCAAATCTACCGGTTTATCCCTTATGAATCCGCCCGCATTAGCACCTCGCCTCTGAACGCAGCTTCTCGTTGCAGGGTGCTTTTATCTCCTTTCGCCGCAGCGTTTTGGGCAGGATACCTGATGTGCAATATTCAGAATATTTTAGTAACGTGACAGGCGCTTTTCCCTTTCTGTGAGACTATACCCAGACTGCCCTTGCTAATGAGGATGAGGGGGGATACGAGGCTCTGGAGGTCCACACAGGTACAACGTTCTCCTGCGCGTCGCCACTGCCCAAATCAGGTTGCAGCGCTCCCGGGGACAGCCCTCGCCTTGGCCGTAGCCCTTGCCCGGAGCTTTCCGGGCGTTTGCTGGAGCCATTTCCACCTTGGTAATTAGCATGTGCCCTGGACAGATTTCAGCATGCGGTCACTGGGATCCGCTTTGCTATAGAGCCCTTATTCATCTTGGCCACGGGCTACAGTCTAAAGCCTATTACAGCGTGAACGATCTTGTGTTTAGTTCTGAGGATTTAGGACAAGGTCTACATGCAAATTAATAATTGACCAACAATAATTAGAAGAAAGGGGAGGGTACTGAGGCGGTGTGTGTGTGTAAGGGGGGGGTGGGGGGTGAGGGTGGGGAGGAGGGAGAGCCCTTTAAGCAGCAGTGGTTTGGGTTTAGTCTGTCCTAGCCAAGGCCACTGCTGGTCCCGGGTGCAGGCACAAGGGCGATTCCCGGAGCGCGGCGCCGGGTCAGCCGCCTCCCGCCGCACAAGGGCAGCAGAACTTCACACCATCTCCCTCAGGTACCTCAACTCTTCAAGACACTTCCAGTTTAATCATTTCCAGAAATTTAAGGCGCCTAGTAATAACAGCAGCAGCATTACGCTCCCGTTGCCCGCGAGTCGGGTGGTAAAAGCCAGGTCTATTTTTAAATCCGAACGCTATTTTCTGCTCTGCGAGCTTGTGGCGGAGAACAGGGCTATTAATGATCAACCCCATCTCTTTGTGAAGTCCGCGGCTAGTACGAGCAATCTAGATACAAAGAGGGAAAATCTGAATAGAGTTACATCTCTCGGCGGTGGCATCAAACGCGGCTAATGTTTTCAGCATTTAAATGGCTTGTGCTGGGGGTTGTTTTTGAGCACGACATTGTTTAAAATTCCGCTTTGGTGTCAAAACCCAACATATTTTAGCATCACCGTCTTTCTCCTGCCTCGAGTCCTCTCGAGTGTACCGCAGAGCAACTTTGGGGTTCCTGCGTTAGGGACGCGGAGGGAGCCGATGCGCGGCAGCCCCGGCTCAGGCACCGGCCCCTCTCTCCCCTCTCTCGGGGCGAGGCACACAAGCGCAGGGTAGATTTAACCATAAACATCATCGAATTAAAAACCCCAAACCTCCAACGTGCTCGTACCTCCCGGTAATCTGAAAACATGTAAATTGAGCCACGGAATCATTTGCTTCAAGAGACGATATTTAAATAATAATCAATTAGGTGTTTTGCATAGAAATCCTAGACTTATCTCCATAGCTAAGCGCTGTGACTGACCGCAAACAAGTGATCATGCAGCCAGAAGAAAGCAGGAAAGGCAGATTATTGTCTAACA